TATCTTCACAAGGGACTAATAATTACTGTAATGGATATAGTGATTTCTTCTGTGTGCTAGAAGACTTGCTTACCATTTCATAATAACCTCTCTGTTTTAATTTAATGGCTTGCTTTGTTCAAGAGAGATGTCTGACTACAGTAGAAGGGAGTGCAAAGCTGTAGGTTGAGCCCAAATGTTTCTTTGCTTACAGTACACTGAGCTTTGCACAACAGCTGCAATTTTCTTGCTAACCTCCCTTCCTTCCCCCACAGTAAGTACTGTCCCTAAGTAAATAAAATACAGACATTACTTAGAATAGTAAGCTACACTGTGTCATGAATCTCCTATTAGCTGTTTCCATATCTAAATGTTTTCCTCAATGTGCAAACTATAAGTTGTATTTCTTGCTGAATTTTTTTCTGATCAATGCCAATATTTAAATGAATGTACTGCATAAATACTTTTTTATTTTGAAAGGAAAAGAACCTAAACAACAATAGTTAATGCCTGTATCTTTTATCAGGAGTGCTGAGTGAGCTGGACATTGATGTTAGTGAAGGTGTGCAGATGGAGCTACAAGGGCATATAGGCCGATTTCAGGTAATAAAGTTTTATATTTAACACTTGTCCTTTTAAAATTGTTTGTAGATAAGCTTCTTCCTGGTTTTGTACTTTGACTAGTAGCAGTATGAAAAGGATGTTTTCCACCATGGTGGTTTGGGTTTTTTTTGGGGGGTGGGATGAGGTGGGGTGGAGCTGGATTGTGTGTGGTTTGGTGGTTTGGGTTTGGCTTGTGTTTGCTTTTTTTATTTCATCTTTTTTCTTTTTATTCCCCCAACCAAATAGAAAAAAAAAATAAAAAAATAGCATTTAGCAACATCAGTTCTGCATCAGGAACTTTGTTTCCCTCCATGGCTAACCATTCACCTTATGTGGAGGAGAAGAATTCGAGCATGTGAAGTAATGCAGAAGTACTCTGTTGCTACTTCTGCTGCAAGCATATCTCCAGCTCAGTAATTTGGAATATCAAACATGCTAGTGTTTTATTCACTTCCTTCCCTTTTATAAATAACCTGGACTTGGAAACCAGAATGAAAGCCAAGATAATGTCTTGCTTGAAAGCAGTTATTTTGAAAGCTCAAAATCATTGCAGACTTTTTTGCAGCTCAGCATTCAGCATCCAGCAATGTTTTTGAAGCTTTGTGGGTCATGTGAGCAAGGGCTTTCATAAAGAAATATTTATCTGAAAGCTATCTGGAGAAAGGTCTGGCCTGTCAAATTCTTCTGGTTGGAAGAGAAAGACATATTCTCTGAATACTTTGATAGTAAATATCATGCTGAAGCAAAGTAGCGAGCTGTAACTGACTGCTGCAGTGCTGGGATATTTGGTTTTCTGATGAATCATGTCAGCAAGAAATTCCCATGGGAAAGCAGAAAGTTGCTTTTTTTTTTAATTGTAAGGAATTTTAATTAGTTAATTTGAAAACTCAGCTGTTCTGAGCAGAACTGAGTGAATCATAGGATAGAATCACAGCACAGAATTACAAAATCAGTCATCTGTTATTGTAGCTTTTCTCTCTAGTTTGTCCTGTTATTTTTATCCAGTTATAATAAAAGGATTTAAGTGTTCTACCCTTCCCCAAAAGTAATTACCAATAAATCTTTAATATGTTTTTTTTTTTTTTTTTTTTGCTGTTCCTTGTGAAATTGGCTTGCAGTCTGAGGCACTTTCGCGATCTTAACATGCCACATGTAAACTAGCCCCAAAGTTATTGATTGCTACTTCTTTTTATGAAACTTTTGAGTTGGTTTTTGCACTCTTATTTCCGTGGTGTTTATTATCTATATCCAGATTTTGACAGTTTGTCTATGTAGGTAAAGGTGTTGAAAGTGGGAATGGGTAAATTTAAACTGTCATTGATGCTAGTCAGTCTGCAAGAGACATAAGTTGTGCACATTTGAATTGCATTTGTTTCTCAAGGAACTGTTTTAGGATGCCATTAATTTTTAAATTAATTAAAGGTGAGATAAAACATTATGTTATAACCATTTAATTAATAAAATATAATTTACAAAATGTTTTAACTGCATTGCTCTTTAGATGTTGTGTTTTAAGAGATAACGTATCACTTAAGTGAAAAGAATCATGCACTTCATTTGTTGAGATACTAATTAAAATGTTAATTTCTTATGGCAGCGCCAGTGCTTAGGACTTCTAAGTCGGTTTGGTGGTTCAGAAAGACTACGTCAGTTTAAACTGCAAGATGATAACTCACAGGGGGACAGAGTGAACAAGAGGGATGAAATTGAGTTGGCCATGCAACAGGTAAGGACACAAGAATCTGCTAGAACCTTCAGTCTCAAATTGTGACGTTTTACCTGCTGTGCAAATATGTTTAGTTGTCATGCTTTCATACCATAGTGGTAATGCTCTACACTGTTTTTAGTCTGATGGGGGATCCCACATTTTATTTCTATTTAAAGTAAATCTTGAAAATTTGGTTACTTAAATTTGCATTAGCAGCCATTACTGTTTCGGGTACAAATTCTGTGAACTTTGAAACCTTAAACTGATCAGAAATTTTCAAAAGAAAGGCTGATTATACAGGGCAATGGCTAACAGTAAGTTAAAGCCAAAGGGGACTTAAAATTGACCGGAAATTTTAACTAGGGGGTTGGAAAAGAGGCAACGTTGCAAGTTCTAGACTTGAAATAGAAGAGAGGCTATAACTGATCAGAAAAGTGAATCATTACATTTTGGTGAGGAGACAGGAAACTAAACACGTTGTTTATTGACATTATTCCAGTTAAAATTCAGTGCTCCGAAGCCTGTAGATAGTGTAACTGACATGCTGTGATTTTCTTTTGGCAGATCTGTGCAAATGTGATGGAATACTGTGAGTCACTTATGTTGCAAAGCGCCCCCAGTTTTCAGCACACTGTTTGTCTGTTTACTCCTAGCCTGTCAGAATCAACCAACCGAGATGGGCCTCGTCAGGGTGAGATTTTTGGCTTGCTGTTTTGTGAGACTGAATGGTGTGACTTTGGGCTAGTAGAAGTAATGAACCAGAGGCTGTAGTATCACATACACTTTCAGTCACTTTTATGCCAGTACTGTGGGTGCCTATTTTCTAATTCTGGAACTTTGCACAGCAGCCTCTGACACACATATCAATAAAAAAAGTGTATGTAAATAAATAGCACAAGACATGAGAAAGTGAGCATTTCTTTTTTCAGCATCTGTGCTGGATTACATTAGGTGAAACTAGCACCTAATTCGTGACATGTAAGATGTGTTTTGATGCTGAGCGAAACTATTCATTATGCCACATGGCAGGAGCTTATAGTGTGCTGTTATGCAGCTGAGTGGTTAAAATCTTTAAATAGTAAATCTTCTGGCCTAGTTATATTTCACGTTACACTCAGTACTGTGCTATGCTTACTGCCTTCTAGTACTGCAGCCACAGAACTTTTTGCCTAGTGTCTCATTGGTATTACTTCTGACACAGAAGTATAAAAGATAAACTTCCACATCTTTCACTGCTTTATTGACAGACAGCATACATTATTGGTTTCTTGTTCTTTTTTACTTTTATTTTTTAATTTTGAATTGTTTGTCATCTTTTCTAGATACACAAGCACCAGTGGTCCCATACTGGCACTTGCCTGGCTTGGGCATTATTGTCTACCTGCTGAAACAAAGCACTAGTGATTTCTTCAGTTACTATGATAGCCATCGTCAGAGTGTTAACAAGCTGCAAAATGTAGAGCAACTCCCACCAGATGAAATAAAAGAGGTAATAGTTCTTCTGACTCTAGCCCTTGTATTGTTTGTAACTTAGACACAGCTCTAACAGAGACTCAAAGCATCTTAGACAAGTAAATAGTTCCAGTTCTTGTGCATATTCCTTTCTACTGGTGATGAAGGAAGGTCCATGGAATAACTTCAGGGAAAATATTTGGCTTAACTTTACAAAGTTGTGATTTTTGTTATAGTTGCTTTTGTTTATGTTTAATTTCTCTACTTTTGGTAAGCAAGGTTATGCAAATTTAGAACAGTGCAGTCTTGAAGAAACAGTAGCTAACAAGGAAGTTCTATATATTGATAAGTAATTTTGTTTGCTTATTTCTTTTGAGGTTCTGTGATTTGTTACAGTCTTCTTGTTTTTCCTCTTCTTACCGCAGCTGTGTCAGTCAGTTATGCCAGCTGGGGTTGACAAAATCTCCACTTCCCAAAAATATGTTTTGGCAAGGCGACGCCTGGTGAAGCTAATAAACAACCGAGCCAAGCTGCTTTCTCTCTGTTCTTGTATCCTTCTAAAATTGAAATGACCCTCAAGATGATGATCCAGAAAAGCAGAGAAATAGGAACAGGTTCTTTTAACCTATATTTCTGACCACTTCAAACAACGTATTTTGCAAAAAGGAAATTTGAAATTCTGAAAATTAGTAAGAGTGTATTGTCCTGCTGTTGTCAGAATGTAAATATTTTTAGGTTAGTAATTTCCATCATGGAGACCCTGCTAGGACATTCTGCAACATTATAACAGAGGAGTTATTACAGCCCAGCTCTTCAGTTCAGTATCCAGACCCACTAAACATTCACATATGTGCAAGTGCGGTGGAAGAAATATTTTGAAAAATAATTTTGAGGTGCCTATCAGAACAACTGGACTCACCAGTCTTACAGTTAACCTTTCATAAACCTAATATCATAAACACTGGTAATTCTATGGAAGTACCTAGTCATGTGAAAAGTAACTGTCTGCAGCTGATTCCTTTGAAACCTGCTTTGGGAAAGATGTGCTCTTACAGCCTTGCCTGTTGTGAGTAGCAGTCATTTGAAGTAACCATGCTCAGGCAGGTAAGGAGGGTGTAAGCGATCTTGCCATGGAAGTGGAGGTGAGAAGCTTCTGCTGCAGGTGACAGATGTTAACATCTTCAGGTGCTTCAAAGTGTGTAAATAAGCTCATATGGTATACGTACAACCTCAAAACAACAAAATTAGGCTCCTTCACTTAGATGTGTCTACAGATATTATAGAAACATGTCTCTTCATTCTTTGGCGTCATCTGGAACACTATCTACTGCATTGCACGCCCACTGACTCTCAAGACCCGCTGATGTCCTCCAGGATGTCCTTTCAGAAAGGAAGGCTGCAAGGTAAAATTTCTCAAACATCAAACTGCATTTTAGTAACTTTTTATAGTTAACTTTAAAACTGTAGATTACAAGGTAGATTCTTAAAATCTACTTCAAAAAGTAGATTCGCTACTATTAATCTTATGTCATTCATATTTAATAAAAGAGATTTCATTTGGATTTGGCATACCTTTGGATTTTCTGCTGGAGAACTGGCAATACAATTATTGTTGAGTCACAGATCTTGGGTTTTGTCTGTTATACACAACCTGCAAAGGAATGTAAAATTAACTTTTTTATTTCTGTTGTTCAGACCAAGTGAAGTTCAAATAATCTAATCAGATCAGTGATTCAAAACAAGTTATAGGAACTATAATCTAAAATGAAGGTAAAAACTAAAATCAGTATTGATGGCTTTAAAATTATTTCTAGAATTGTAGGCACCATTGATTCACCAGAAGATTTGAAGTTTGTAGGATTTTGTATTTTTGAAAAAATTAGTAATGGAAGGAAATCAGAAAGGGAGAAGTGATCTGGGGAGGAGCTTTATGCTTAAGATGCCATCCTGTGTGATCAAAATTAGTTATGGCCTTAACTTACATTCTCTAAATCATTTAAATAAAATAAATTATCATTTTCTTACATGCAAGTTTACCAACCAATTTGAAACACCGTGTTTTAATCTTGTTTTATAACTTGATGTGGAAAAGAGAGTGGAGAGCAGCAGCTGACATAATTTTAATGTCTTATTTTCTACCACTAGATTCCTTTGGTTCAGAGCCTAGCTTGGATTTCAGTAGTGGACTGAATCGAGTGAGCCAGCATGATATAGAACAGGTGAGATGTGATGGTCAACTGAGAAATACAGAATATACTTCATTACCCTACAGCCATCTAACCAGAGCAGTCTGACTAGGCTTCCCACCTCTGAACAATGTGTACCAACAGGGTGTAACTTAGTTTAGGATTAATGAAACACTGCAGATGTTTCATTAATCCTTGGTTTTTTTGGTTTTTTGAAAGTATTATGAAGGAGGCAGCAGTTGTGCTGCTGCACACGTGATTTCAAGTCTTAATATATTAAGTTAAATGAAAAATCAGCTAATTTACTAAAAGACTATATGTATATAAACCAGTCAAACAGTATGTATTTTTTAACAACAGCTTTCTGAAAACACTGGTTATCCTTGACAGCTTCGCAGCATGAGGGCAGAACTCCCAATTTTCTGTCATCTTGCAGCTGTTCATTACAGGTCAGCTACAGCTAGGCTGTAGAGAAATGAGATCAAAAAGGGCAACAGAAACTGAGGAGACTATAAAATGTGAATGCTAGCAAAGAAGTGATTTCTGCTTACACAGCGATTTCATAGTTTATAGAACCATAGAACAGTTTGAATTGGAAGGGACCTTCAAAGGTCATCTAATCCAACCACCCTGCAGTGAGCAGGGACATCTTCAACTAGATCAGGTTGCTCAGAACCACATCAAGCCTGGCCTTGAATGTCTCCAGGGATGACACATTGGATGCTTAACTCCTAAGCAGTCCTTAAAGGACTAGGAAAATTTCAGTTGGAAGAAGCGTCTGTATGACTGTAACTGAAGAAGCTAAATTCTATAAAACCGTTTCATTCGTAAAACAGGAGTTTAATCCCTAAAATTTAGTGAGGTTGTAAGGTGGTAATATTTGGATCATCTGTAAATGTTCTGAGTCACCCAAAAACCCCTGTAGAAAGACCATCCATTATATAATATAGAGAGAAAAACATAAGGGAAGAATGTACACCGTATTCATTAGGGGAGTCAGAAAAAACTTACTTTTGAGAAGTGGTTTAGAGAATCAGTTGTAGTGAAAGGGATGACAGATAGCTGATGATGGATAAGCTGACATTCCGCAAGGAGAAGGTTTTGTATTAATGACTGCAACAAATCTCTGTTTCTCAGCTTCAGATTGAAACTGCAAACAGCTTTGGTGAATCTCTGCAGAAGAAGCTTCTGGACATCGAAGGGTTATATTCTAAGGTTCGGTCACGGTACACCTTTATTCAAGCTCTTGTCAGACGTATCCGTGGTCTCCTAAGGATATCAAGGACCTAAGAGACTGAAACATGTTGTTTGCCCCCTGAAGCAAGCAAAAATGTACACGGGCAGGCTTTCTGGATAATCAGAATTATAGATGATACATTTTCTAATTAATGTCAAAAATATTTTGTTACTTTTTTTTTTTCTTATCCCTATAGATCAGTTTTTTTGTGTATTCTTTCCTACTGTTCCCAAATTGTCAGGAAAAATAAAGGATTGTTTTGTTAAAAACTTACGATTAATGTAAAATTTCAAGCAAGAAAGAATTCTAATGGAGGACATAAACGAAACAGAAGTTCTGCAGCTGTGATAATATTGCATTTGTGGATGCTTTCAGAGAGAAGGGGGAAGTAAAGTTTTCTGTGCTGTTCTTGCTGCAACAGGAATATAAAAACAGAATAAAATGCATGAGGAGGAGCCAACATGCTTGAGTGGTGAATTGGTTCTGTAGTTAAAGAACTCGTATCTATCTCCTTGTCTCTTATGCAGGAGAAAAAAAAATAGCGTAACAGCTCATCATTAACCTGAGCTGTGTTGGGTTTCTCTTATTACAGTCTGATCTTAAATGTGTGCATTGCAAATTCTGTCTCCTCTGTGTTTTCTTAGTATTTCTCATTTTTCCAATTTTGTATTTGTTCATAGAATCACAGAATGGTTTGAGTTGGAAAGGATCTTAAACGTCATCTGGTTCTAAGCCCCTGCCACGGTCAGGGACACCTGCCACTCCACCAGGTTGCTCAAAGCCCCTCTGTCCAGCCTGGCCTTAAACACTGCCAGGGATGGGGCAGCCACAGCTTCTCTGGGCAACCTGTGCCAGTGCCTCACAGTAAGGAACGTTTTCCTAATGTCTAATCTGAATCTACCTTCTTTCAGTTGAAATCCATTCCTTGGAGTCCTGTCACTACATGCCCTTGTAACAGGTCCCTCTCCAGATTTCTTGTAGGCCCCCACTAGGTACTGTTAGCCTGCTCTAGGATTTCCCGGGAGCCTTCCTCAGGCCGAACAACCGCAGCTCAGCTGCACAAACTAATTACATCATCTCGTCTTACAATAGGATGGGACGAAAGGAGGGACCCCCCCCCCCCCCACCAGCCGCATTGGTTCGAGCAGGAAGTGCTGCCCCCCCCCCCCCAGCACGCGCATGGCCGGGCCCCGCCCCTCAACCGGCACCCCGCTTCCGCTGGCGCCGCAGATTCGCCACATTTCACCCCCGCCCCGCATCTTCATTTACAAACTGTCACCTCTGCTTTCATTCCCCGTGCTCGAGTACGTGCACGGGGAGCCCCGCGCCCAGCCCTTCCCTTCCTCCTCCGGGGAGGCCGAGCTTTTCCCGTTTCCGTGTCGAAACGGCGAGCAGGGAGGCACCGCCTCGTTTACTCGCCGCCCCGTGCGACGTGGAGGCTGCGGGCGGCGGCTGCTCGGCAGCGGCAGGACCAGCGCACCGGACAGGAGCGGCGGCGCGGCCTACTGGCTCGACATGGGTAAGGAGGGGCGGGCGGCGGCACCGCGGCAGGGCCGGGGGGAGGCTCCCGGGATCCCGCCACGCCCCCGGCGGCCTGTGGGGATGTGAGGGGAGAGGGGGCCCGTGGGGTCGGCGGGAGTGGCGTCGTCGCAGCAGGCTGGATGGTGTTGAGCGAGGCGGGATGCTGGGAGGGTGCCACGGCCCGGCTCTGCCCGGCGGCCGCGGGAGCGGTTGGTACCTCCAGCCTTCAGCCTGAGCTCCTGATACGGAGCGGTGCCTGCCGGCGGTCGGGTGGCTAGTGCCGGTGTGGCTCTTCTGCGGCGCTGCTTCTGGAGCATACCTTTGTTGTAATGCTTCTGTACGCCTGAGACCTGGCTAAATTAAACTGTGATTCACCTGTGTAATGGCTGGCTAATAAAAAATTAATTATGGAAAGAGGTGTTTTAGAATAGTCAATAGAGAGGACAGTAAGAGGCCCTGAATCAAGGGGTTAAGTGATTAGAATGAATCTGTCCTATTGCACATGGTATTTGAGCAGTGTCTTAGTGTGGGAAAACCAAATACAATGTAAGAAGGAATGAGAAGTGCCTGGCAGTCAGTAAGGTTACTGACAGAGGAAAGAATTGCCATCTCTTTGGCGTCCATGGATCAATCGCATAGTTAGCCTTCTGCTGGAAATATTAACACTGAAATACTTTTTGCATCTCAGTTCTAAGGTTATTTGCCTGTCTCACAGTAAACAGCACCTTGAGCAGCACTATGCAAAATACTGATAGATGGTCCCTTGTGCCTTCTCTTTGTTTTCCGGGTGTGTAGTGTGTATGGCTTTTGCAATGGGGTGGGCTTAGAAGAAGTGAAGCAACCTGTTATCAGTTTTAATTCCTTTTTATGCATAAGCATGTAGCTCATTGGTCTCCTTTCCCTGGAAAGGCATCACAGATGCCTAGAAAGACAAACATGGTGAGTGGTTTTTATCAGAACCTCTTTCAGTAAGATTTTAGTCACAAATCTTCTCTAATTTGACTCTCCTCTGATATATTTATCATAGAACAGTTTGGCTTGGAAGTGGACCTTAAAGCTTATCTAGCTCCAACCCCCCTGCCATGGGCAGGGACACCTTCCACTAGACCAGTTTGCTCAAAGCCCCATCCATCCTGGCCTTGAACACTGCCAGGGATGAGGCAGCCACAGCTTCTCTGGGCAACTTGTGCCAGTGTCTCACCAACTCCACAATAAAGAACTTCTTCCTTATATCTAATCCGAATCTACCCTCTTTCAGTTTAAAACCATTCCTCCTTGTCTTGTCTCTGCATGCCCCTATAAAAAAAAAATCCCTCTCCATATTTCTTGTAGGCCTCCTTTAGGTACTGGAAGCTGCTCTAGGGTCTTCCTAAAGCCTTTTCTTCACTAGGCTGGACAACCCCAACTCTCTCAGCCTGTCTCCATAGGAGAAGTACTCCATCCCTTGGATCATCTTCATGGCCTCCTCTGGACTCACTTGAGCAGGTCCAGTTCCCTCTTGTATTGGGGGCCCCAGAGCTGAATGCAGCATTGCAGGGGGTGTTTCATGAGAGCAGAGTGGGGGAGAGTCATGTCCCTCAACCTGCTGGTCATGCTCCTTGTGATGCAGCCCAGGACACGATTGGCTTTCTGTGTGCAATACAGGCTGTTAGATCATGTTGAGCTTCTCATCAGCCAACACCCCCATGTCCTCCTTTTCAGGGCTGCTCTCAATCCAGTCTCTGCCCAGCTTGTATTTGTGCTTGGGATTACCCCAAACCAAGTGCAGGACCTTGCACTTGGCCTTGTTGAACTTCATGAACAGGCCCACCTCTCAGGCATGCCAGGGTTCCTCTGAATGCATCCTTTCACATTGTCAAATGTGATTCTAGCTTGTTTGGTGTTTCACTACCTTTTACAGGGTTTAGCTGGATTTACAACATTATTACTTAGCATCAGATATAGTTGTTACAAAAATAATTGGTAAAAATATTATTGTTACTGGCTTAGCACATTCTGCATCTGGCAGGCACAAATCCGGTATTAGTCTAGCCACAAGTAGTCTTACAGGAACTTAAAGAATAAATGAGTTTGGGGCAAGCCAGTTTTGGAAAAAAATAAAATGGAATGGGTTTTGTATCTGGTAGTGGACTGTGATTTAACATGTACCAATTGTTTTATACTTAATTTTAAGAAGAAAGAAGTGGATGTTCCTGTGGGAGTCCATAAACATCAGAAAGAATTCTTTCAGACTTCAGCATGTTGTCATATAGCCTGTTGCACTGAACAGGTAGAGTCCAATACAAACAAAACAGAAGTTGGCTCAGATTTTGTCAAATGAGAGAAGAGGAAAAACAGAAGTTGTAACCACAGTGAGGCAGCTTGATGCTTCTGCAGTGTGATTTTGCTGGATTGAGATATCGTAAAATAACAGTATAAAGCCAGGAAAATGTAATGTGATTCAGCACATGAGTATCTGGGCAACAGCCTGAACTTGTCTATTATCACTGGAGCAAAGACACATACTGTATCTCAGTAAAAAAATGAGGTGGATCTGTCTGCCTTTCCATAGCCTCCATATCTCAAGCTGACACTGAAACATCCTTCTGTCCTGTTTTATGTAGGGGGCTTTTTCTCCACCATCTTTTCCAGTCTGTTTGGAACTCGAGAGATGAGGATTCTCATCCTGGGACTGGATGGAGCAGGAAAAACAACCATTCTCTACAGGTTACAAGTCGGAGAAGTTGTTACCACCATTCCAAGTAAGTGAAAGCAGCCGGTTTGCCTGTAGCTCTAACACAGAAGCTTTGTCAGCTGAACTTACTTCATGCTTCCTTCAGAAATAAACGGATCTTGTGCCCTGGGAGCCTTGCACTGGTGTATTCAAGAACTTTTGCACAACAGTATTACAGCATACTACAGAAGTGCTACATAAAGGAGTATTTTATGCTGTCCTCCTGAAAGCAAAACGTATTTGACCTTGAAAGGCAAGAGATGCTTGGCTTTTGAGTTCCTGTCATATCTCTTGGGTTCCTTCTGAATGGCCGTGATAAACTGAATTTAGTCGGGTCTTTTTTACTTTTTAGAAGCCAGCAGTTTAATGTGTCATAATCCTTTTGCCCTAGGGTTTTGCTTATTTCAGCCTCCATAAGTTTTAGGTAGTCTGCATCCATCATTCACTTCCCTATGTTGGGTTTCTCTGGCCTGGCAGGAAGAAGGATCACATACGTGGTGTGCTGCCATCTTCCAGATACCACAGTGTCAAGTATTTTGCTGAGAAGTTAGTTCTGCTGTGGTCTTATGAAGTGCTGACACAAAGGACACATTTCTTCATTTCTTAGTGGTTTATTGCTGTTGGTTGTGTGCTTGGTTATCAAAACAGGCCATTCCTTTAACGGCTCTGTTTCTTTTGCGGATTTCAGGCACACTTCTGTTCATTTTTTAACAACCTTAGCATTTGTTAGAAATCTTTACGTTTGCAATGTGTTTTTATTGTTCAAAGGAAAAAATGGCTGCATTATTTTGAGTCACAGATGTTGGGGTAACTTTGCAACGGTATGAACTTCATTATGGAGCTATTGAGAATTTTCCCACCTGAAAATTGTAAATGAAGTGCTGTAACATTCTTCAGAAATAAAGAGAAATCACCAACTGTGAAACTGTTTGTTTCAGCCATTGGCTTCAATGTTGAGACAGTGACATACAAGAATCTGAAGTTTCAAGTCTGGGACTTGGGAGGACAGACAAGCATAAGGTAAAAGATCTCTTGAAATCAAAAGATAGGATTAAATGTCTCTCAGAAGTGCAAAGTTCTTGGGAATTCTCTCGGCTGGCACTTTTTAAAATTGGTTCTTTTTAAAAACAGCCCATTGTCAGGAGTGCGCTTCCATTTGATGGAGTTCACTCAGTGAAACCTGGTTTGGACTACAGGTTGGAAAGGAACAAGCAAATGTTTTCACTTATCTACTGCTCTGCTTTGAAAAACGAGGCACAAGGCAATTGTGTAGCATTTTGAGAGGGAAGTGAGTGATGTAAACCCCAAGGGATATTTAAATGTTCTTAATGCAAAGCAGGGAGGTTGAATTTAGGTATAGACAATAACATTTTTAGCGAGCTTTACAAGTTTTGCAGTTAGTTGTTATATGCGTAACTGTAGTGAGCTTTTCGGTACCCTGCTATGACCTTTTCATGAATGCTTCCTGAGCGCTAGGTAGTGAGGTGCAGCACAGTTAGTGCGTAAGTAACATGCAGGTTCCTTCCCTTTTTAGTTTCAGTAAAATAATTCTGAAAAAGGTGGTTTTGTTTCTTGTTAATTACTTGCCTATGTGTATTAGTCATTTCAGATTTCTCTGTGTTTAAATGTTCTTTGCTTTCCTGTCCCTTAGTTATAGACCTGATGTCCTGCAGGCTGATTCTCAAATAAGTCTGTCCACAGCACTTCTTTCATTGTTTTTAAGCTGCTTGCTTTTTTTTTTTTTTTTTTTACATCTCCTTCCTCCCCTGCCCCAAGAGTATTTGTTCTGTCTCTTGAAGATACCTACTACTTCCTTGGGGTAATATCTGGTTTTCATTATCTGGCTAAAAAGCGCTGCTAAAAGTGCAAATTATATGACTGGGACTTACTCTTTCTTCTGCAGGCCATATTGGCGGTGTTACTACTCAAATACAGATGCGGTCATCTATGTAGTGGACAGCTGTGATAGAGACAGAATTGGCACTTCAAAATCGGAGCTCGTTGCTATGTTAGAGGTACGGAAATAAGCATTGAAACGGAAATTGAGAAACTAAACCTCTGTTTGGAGCAAATGTGAAATTTCATATAGTGAATTTGGTGAAACTGACCTTCACTTGTGAAACTTCAGCCCTCAGCATAGGCCCATGCAACACTTGTGGCTGAAAAGCACTAAACATGCTGCAGCCATTTCACAGTTCTGTGCAGCAGTGCCTAGGCAGTTGTTAGTTCCGTATTAGTTCCGTGTAGCCTTTTGGTCATCCAAGAATGTATTTGTCCACAGGGACAGCTGCTCAGTACCACAGTGGTGGCAAAATTCAGGCCCTGAAGGATTAACAGTAATTAGTATCCTGCTGTGTTTTGAAGCTGAAGAGCATGTGTAGAACAGGTAATAAGGGTAAGAAGATGAATTGAGCAAAACATTTTTATCTATCCCGCCTCCAATTCCTTAAAGTTCTTCCATATGCCTTGTTAAATCCAACTACCAGCTTGTTTCATAAGGTATAAGGCATAACCAGCCGTATTTTGAAATTGATCCCAGATATCATGCTGGAATTGAAAGGAAATACTGATCTTTCACTAAAGAATTTTCTGAAGGACAAAAATCAGCAAACAAAATCATTATGAGAGCTGCTGAAGTGTCTTTTCATTTTATGGGGTTTTGATGCTTAAATAAACTGAGTAAAAGTTTCTGCAACACCAATCTCTTGCATGATTCCTCTTTTTTTAGGAAGAAGAGTTGAAGAAAGCCATTTTGGTGGTGTTTGCAAATAAGCAGGACATGGAGCAGGCCATGACTCCCACAGAAATGGCAAACGCGCTTGGCTTACCGGCTCTGAAGGACCGAAAATGGCAGATATTCAAAACCTCTGCAACCAAAGGCACGGGGCTTGATGAAGCAATGGAATGGTGAGTAACAGCCTAACTAGGCTTCATTATAAAAATGTCTTTTACTGTATTTATTAAGACTTGGATCTGTGGAAAGCCTGTGTGACTTAAGAGAGGCGTCCACAGGGAAAGAAAGAGATGCTTTCTCGTAAAAGTATTTCAACATAATTGAAATGACTTTTCAGTAAGCTGCCTTAACCTTTTTCCATAGGTTGGTGGAGGCCTTGAAGAGCAGGCAGTGATTCAGAGTGACCACTGCAAAGCAGTTTCAGCTACATCCATCATCCCTTTTTCTGTAGTTGGGTATTTTCAGGCCACAAATGGATTTGGTGGATTTGAGTGGCTGCTGTATTTGTGTAATTAAAACACTAATAAAATCTGGAACTGTCAATTGTACTCAGAGGTGTGTTGCTTGCTCAAGGCTGCTTGCTTACAGGAGCAGGTCCAACTGCTGCCAGTTCAAACAGCCACATAGCTGAACACTTAAAAAGATTTCCTTAAGCTGGTGTACTTCATCATCCTTCAGTGCACATACACTGTGACAGTGACGTGCAGTGACAGAGAGGAGTGTACCTCCAGCTGTTAGCGTACCATTGGTTTTCTGAAGAGACAATAAAATGCCTTCAGTCACCACACACCGCCCTGGCCATAATTTAAGTTCAGCTTCCAGCCTCAGGAACTGTTATTCCTGTACTCTAAGCTTAGCCAGAAATGACAGTGAAGTTGCTCAGTACAGCTGCAGAAGCAAAGACAAATCAGTATCAGGAGGCATCTGCTTTCTCCTCAGGAGTGTGGATGTTCACAGGCATGAACAGTCATCACATCAACCCCTCCCTTAAAAAGGAAGTAAAATTTAATATAAAAGATAATGGCAGTTTGTCCATTCAACTGTACATGCTCTGGTAAAATTGACAAAGCTTTTACTTTAGATCCTAGATGAAAAGAGGACATGGAAAAAATACTAATAAATACAATTAAAATATGGAAAGACTTTTTTTAACAGTAATTAGTTCTTTAGCTTGAAATCACTTTATAAATTAATCCTCCAGGAAGGAAAAGCCTCTTCATTCCACCATTGCTAAATCTTTCAGTGCATGACTTCGAGCTCTTTTGGCCTTGTAAGTAGGGCGCAGGGATTCTATTTTTCTCTTCCTGGTTTCTGCTTTATTCTTATGTCTTTTCAGCTTCCTCCGTGCAGCGATGTCAGGGTTTGCTACAGTCTAGTGAAAAACAACACAGTTGTTACTAAACAAACAACTGTCCCTGTAGACATGGGTTTTCTTAGGCTCCGCTAATTCTGAGGCTGTTCTGGCATCTCTGCCCAAGTTCATCACTGGTCTTCAGGTAAGTGGGAAAGCACAGCACTGCTATCAGCCAGAACCTGCCAGGAGGTTCTCAAACTCATCTTCCCTGTCAGCTTTCAAGCCTTCAGAGAAACCCTAATAGTTTTACCCAGAAGATGATAAAGTGGAATCTTACCTGCAAAGCCCTCTGCTTTTTCCTCATGGCTCTTTTCTGATTGGCCTGTTTCTGCACAGAAGAAAAGGCAAGTGAAAAAGCCTCCAGTCCAACCAGCTTCTTGAGCAGTTCTATGATTTCTTGGGAAAGGTTCTTCAGTGTTGGATCTAATAAAACAAAATTAGCTTGCTTAATCTTTTCAGCAAGGAACAAAAGCCAAACAGTAAGGATTCCTCTTTCTTTATTAAAGGATGACTGCACTGATTCATCTTGCCCAAGTAGACTGCAGAGATTAGAGCAAAGGCTGTTGTGAAATCTGCTGGTTCTTCAGCAGCTTTCCTGAAGACCACAAGCGGCACTTCACAGAGGCAAACAAAAAATAATGCTTCTGAGAAGCAAAAGGGTTTGGGTTGTGTTTTTTTTTTTTTCAGAAGGATAATGGTATCCCAGAGGTTATTAGAAGTGGCTTGCTTACACAGCCATCAGGGCTCTTGGAATAGGCTTTGTTAGAAATAGGGGTGGTTCCAGCCTTGTCAGTCAGCAGGAGAGAGTGATCTGGGCTCATTCAGGAGGAAGGGAGATGTTTTGTACGCAGCTCGATGGGTGTTACGCCTGCCTGCACGCACCATGTGTTGTATTCCTGTGGCACGCAGCTCTCTTTCCCTGCCTGCAGAGGTCATGCTCTTTCAGTCACCACACATGTCACACGCTGAAGATCATTTTCTCTGTGTCAAAAGGGGGAGCTTGGGGAAAACATCAAGCAACCACTAACAACCTGCAATTCCAACTTGTACAGTCCCTGGCACTAGAGTAACCCAAGGCGCCATAAAACAACACCCTGTTTTACACTGCAGCTGAAGCATGCTTCTAACCACATGGCATGGATCTTCAGCCCCAAGCACCACAGCACATCTAACATGGCAATTCAAAAAACAACACTCGGCAACAGCTTTGTTCTGGCTTCCATAAGAGCCACACTGTTCCTCTCCTCAGCAAGGGCTCTATTCATCTTGCCACCATGAGTCCACCCTGGAGTACTACACTTTTTCTACTACATAACATGCCCAAGCTATCCACTTGCATGCAGAAGCCTGCCTAACCTTCTTCCAGGCTTTGTCAACACATACATTTTTGTTTCAGCTGTCATATACCCCTCCTTTCCTGATATTCTGGGTTAGTCTGCAAGTAGGTGAAGTTCGCTGATGACAGTATCTGTGCCTCAGCAGACAAAAGGAATGAGATGCGGTGTTCATGCCAAGGCACAGCTTTGACATACTTTCCTCTTTACCAAGTCTTTGTGAGGGAAATTGCTTACCTTGCTCTGCGTAGGTGCTGTTCAGCTCCCGGTACAGAGGGGTCAGAATTGTTGGAAGGTAGGGCTTGATCCTGTCTTTTCCCAGATCCACCGAGATTGCTCCCAGGAACTTAAAGATGCAGCTTCTCTGAAAATGAGTGTGTGGGACATGAAGTAAGGAAGGCTGGAAGGACACTGCTTAACTGAACTGCTAGAAGAAAGCTACGTGTCACTGCTCAATGTACAAGGCATTGTCTCAGACACCTGAGTCAGAAACTTACTGCTGTTACAAGGTCTTACTGCTGCCAAGTACAGTCGTTAGATGAGACACAATCCCATAGGATCTGTAAACATGGGAGCTGTGACTCCACTGGACTGACAGCTGTTAACACTTTGAACAACAGGCTTGCTCTTGCTGCATTGTACTGAGGCAGCTGAAGACATGAAAGTTAAACCTAACTACACCATGAGGGACCAGTTTTTCTGATGCTTTCCTGTACCCTCTGCTCCTCCCGAGCAAGTAACTCTGCACTGCCATTCCCTGCCCGCAGAGATCTAGCGCTATTGGGCTCTCAAAGGCAGTGCTCTGCCCCCTTCAGCATGGTGCCTTTGGGTTTATCACTCTTCCAACACCCCACAGAAGGCTGGAAGCATCAGCAAGGAGCATCAGACTGACACAGGCCTTTCTGTAGAATCCTGAACTCAAACATGTTGTTTCTTTGACACCTCACTTCAGCACCAGCTCCCAGCACCCCCTGCAGCTAGTCCCCAGGGAGTGAAGAGCCAGGGCAACACTCTTGTGGAAGTGCCTGCCACATCAACAGCAGTTGGTCTAACCCTGTTCTTACCTTTAAAGGGACCTTAGGGGAATATGCAGCTTCTCGCTTTGCCATGAGAGAGAGCTTCTTCATTAACCACAGCAATGTGGCTGGCTGGCCTTTCTCTTCTTTGTCTTCTTTTTCTTCTTCCGCTTGAGCAGAAATGTCTTTCTCATCTTCTGAGGCCTCCTGCTCTTCCACTTCACAGCCAAGGTCTCCTTTGGCCTCTTTACCTTCTTCTGAAGGAGGGGCTAGCAAGTAAAGAACTTTGGCCACAAAAAGCAAATTCTTTATAACCTGAAGTGTGAAAGCAGAGTAGTCAGTCACTGCGGGTTCCTGCACTGTCAGCACCAGGTGTCCTGGTTTTAGCTGGGATGGAGTTAATTTTCTTCCTAGTAGCTGGTTCAGTGCTGTGTTTTGGCTTTAGTCTGAGAACAATGCTGATAACACACTGATGTTTTAGTTGTTGCTCAGTAGCACTAACCCTGATCAAGGACCTTTCAGTCTCTCATGCTCTGGCAGTGAGCAGGGGCACAAGAAGCCAGCAGGAAGAAGACAGTACACCTGACCCAAACTAGCCAAAGGGGTATTCCATACCACAGCACATCATGCCCAATATAGCAAATGGCAGGAGTTGGCTGGGAGGGACCAGTCGCTGCTCGGGTCAGGCTGGGTATCAGTCAGCAGGTGGTGAGCAATGTATTGAGCATCTCTTATTGGTTTGTTTTTTTTTTCCCCTTTTGGTTTTATATTTTCTCCCCTTGTTATTTCCATCATCAGCAGCAATAGTAGTAGTAGTTTTGTATTATACTTCAGTTATTAGACTGTACTTATCTCGATGTTTACATTCTTCTGATTCTCCTCCCCATCCTGCCCAGGGAGAGGGTGAGCAAACGGCTCTGTGGTGCTGAGTTACTAGCTGGCTTTCAACCATGACACCAGGGCACATAAGAGGCAAGTCTAGATCTGAAAGAGAAACCTGCCAACCCAGGAAGCTCTAACAGCTTCCCCCACTGCCATATTTGACAGATCATACTGCTCTTAACAGGAAGGCACACCTCAATACCCTCCTACAGTTTGGGAGCCTTTCCCCATGAGCTACTGTGCCTTTTGGGCTCCAGCACTCCCCGAGGCAGGGCTGCTTATCTTTGTCTTCTCCTGTCTGGCAGCCCCCACCTCTCCAAAGGAGATCTCTAACCAGGTTTACAGTGGAGACAGACCATCAAGCAATGGTATAAAGCTGGACTACAGGCTCCCAGCAAAGACAGAGCTCCAGAGCAGCTGCATGGAGCCAGCACCAGAGACCTGGGTCCCTGCTCCAGAATGTGGCTGTCCAACCTGCTCCAGCCTGGGCTGCAGAGCCAGACTCGCCCTGCCAGAAGGGACCCCAGTAATGATGAGGCCCTGCATGGTGCCTCCCCTTCTGTCCCTGCCACCCCGTCAGCCCTTCCCCTCTCACCAGGCTGACACCACAAAGGAGACTTTGCTGGACCCCTGACACACAGACCTGCTCAGATGCCCTCAGCACTGAGCAGCAGGCCCTGCACTGTGCATATGTCCTGAGCCACCGCCAGCCACAGTGCTGCTGTCCTGACTAGAATGTTAGACCCCTTTGTTCATGGGCCAGGGCCTGTGCTGTGCCCTCCTGCAGCCCCAAACCCACTCCTGCTCTTACCTGCTCTCCCAGAGACGGGTCCAGGAACTTGGACTGCAGCTGATGGCAGAATGCAAACGCGAGTTCCTTCATCTGGAAACAGGAAAAAGGAGAAGGAAGTTACTCCATGAAAGGGAGCCAGTAGCAGAAACTCAAAGCAATGTTTT